ATCTTGATACAAATTTGCACAATTTTCAAGAATATATGACTCAATCAAGCCGAGGTTGCTTGCGACCGAGGCACTACATCAACACCATATTAGTGGACAAGTGAATAATTCTTAAGGATGTATAAGTTAATTAAGCCGAGGACGCTTGCGGCCGGGGCGCTATATTGATACCACTTTGATACAAACCTGCACAGTTTTCAATAATAGATGAGTTAATCAAGCCGAGATCGCTTGCGGCCGAGGCGCTAGGTTGATACCACCTTGATACAAGAATGCACAGTTTTCAAAAATATAGTATGATTTAATCAAGCCGAGGTCGCTTGCGGCCGAGGCGCTATATGGATACCACTTTGATACAAACCTGTACAGTTTTCAAGAATAGATGAGTTAATCAAGCCGAGGTCGCTTGCGGCCGAGGCGCTAGATTGATACCACCTTGATACAAATTTGCACAATTTTCAAGAATATATGACTCAATCAAGCCGAGGTTGCTTGCGACCGAGGCACTACATCAACACCATATTAGTGGACAAGTGAATAATTCTTAAGGATGTATATCTATCTGATCACAGGGCTTTGATGTTCGAGTACACTACAGTCGCGACAATGGGAAAGAAAGACAAATGAAAATAAAACAAAAAATAATTAATAGCAACAGTACGGAAGAAATAAAAAATGAATTGTCTTGTGAATTGGTGAAATGTTATGATAAATTTTGTGACATATTAACATCTATTATCACTAAGTGTTGCAAAGAGAAGGTTGTTGCATTAAACAATAATAAAAAAAAGTAACGATTGGATAACAGAAGAAATAAAGGAAAATCGGCAAACTTTATCAAGGAATTGTAAGTAATAGAATAGTAAAACAATTCTATAAGTCGTTTTGTACAGACTTAAAAAATTTGATTAATGACACAAAAGAACAATTTTATTGCAATAAAATTAATGAGTCTCACAATAAAATGAAAACCATGTGGAATTTCGTAAAGGAAGTAAGAGGGAAAACAACACAAAGACACTTTAATGTGGGAACATTTATGAATGATTTTGACAGTGAAGTGGACGTATTGAATGCTATGAATAAGCATTTTGTATCAATTGATGAAAGTGATATTGATAAAAAGAGGCAAAAAGTACAATTAATGTCTAAGGCGACGCATTCGTCGTTTGCTATGTATTTGACCAACAGTGAGGAGGTAGATTATATTATTAAGGGTCTTAACAATACAAAAGCTGTAGGAGTGGACGGTTTTCCTGTTCGAGTACTAAAGTATTGTGCGAATTATTTGTCCACGCCCCTTGCGCATATAATAAATATTTCTTTTACAAAGGGAACATTTTCTAAGAATTTAAAGCTGACGATCATTAAACCGATGGTCAAGAAAAATGCAGTAAATGATTTTTCAAATTACAGACTTATTGCACTTATATCAAATATTGCAAAAATTATTGAGAAGATGGTTTTTAATAGGGTAACGAATTATCTAACTAAATATAAATTGCTAAATAACTCACAAAATGGTTACATTAAGGGCAGAACAACAACAAGGGCGATACTCCAACTTATTGAAAATATTATAGAAAACTTAAACAGGAAAGATATAACATGCTGCTTGTTTATGGATTTAACCAGGGCATTTGACTGCGTACATCACGAAACATTGATCGCTAAACTGGAAAATATGGGTATCAGGGGAACACCTTTAGACTTTTTTGTTTCATATTTGTCTGAGAGATAAAAATGTGTTGCATCGCGGGATGACCATGGTAAAGAAATTAGATCAGAGTGGATCTGTTATTTCTTGTATATATCAATGAGCTACCGAAGATAACTGACGACCTGCTTATTCTCTTTGATGATGATTCCACGTTGGTAGTGAGTGAAAAAGAGCGGGAGACAATAATTCATTCATTGAAAAACAATCTATGTAAACTAGGTGCGTGGTTTGAAGACAATAATCTGACATTTGGAAGTGATCCGATTCACATCGCGTTTGAAAAGTTGCATATATCAAGGTGCTATATTGATACCACCTTGATACAAATTTGCATAGTTTTCAAGAATATATGATTTAATCAAGCCGAGGTCGCTTGCGGCCGAGGCGCTAGGTTGATACGACCTTAATACAAATTTGCACAGTTTTCAAGAATATATGACTCAATCAAGCCGAGGTTCCTTGCGACCGGGGCACTACATCAACACCATATTAGTGGACAAGTGGATAATTCTTAAGGATGTATAAGTTAATTAAGCCGTGGTCGCTTGCGGTCGAGGCGGTAAGTTGATACCACCCAAGTTGATTCAAATTTGCACAGTTTTCAACAATATGTATGTTAATCAAGCCGAGGTCGCTTGCGGCCGAGGCACTAGGTTGACATCATCTTGATACAAACCTGCACAGATTTTCAGAATACGGTGGTGGTCATGTAATTAGGGACAGCATTTTTTATTTTAAAATGTTGAGTTTTTTTTATTAAATTGCTCTATGTTTATTATCTTATAATTCATGTAATTATTGAAACAAAAACGAAAATAATACATAATTGGCAACTTAAAAAATAAAATAAATATACAGCCTGATTCAGAGTAAGCGATTTATTTTTTTTTAGCCACACTATGGGTACTACTTTCAAAATATTTGGCAGTAATATGTTTTAGGACATTCTCTACACGATAGTGATATCATATTTTCAATTGGACGAATTATTTCAAAATGGCGACTGTTTTTTATTTTTGAGATCCTAAAAACATTCTTTTTCTGATAGTGTTTTGTTTTTCTTAAAAATTCATTTCTTTCCCCATCAAGAAGCACACTAACATTTTAATCTAGTAAGGCATGAATGTTTTACACTCGATGTTATTTTTGTCCAAATATCAAGTAGCGCTAGACACAAAAGAAACAATTAAACTTTATTTTGCAATAAACATATACTTATTTATTTATTTGGACAAAAATAACATCGAGTGTAAAACATTCATGCGCTACTAGATTTTTTAGGATCTCAATAATAATAAAAAATTTTGGCATTACATTTAAAAAAAAAAGTTGATAGTCACCATTTTGAAATAATTCGTCCAATTGAAAATATCGTGTAAAGAATGTCCTAAAACATATTACTGCCAAATATTTTGAAAGTAGTACCCTAAAAAATATATATGTATAACTTAATCAAGCCGAGGTCGCTTGCGGCCGAGGCGCTAGGTTGATATCATTTTAATACAAATTTGCACAGTTATCGAGAATACAACTGGGTGGTATATAGGGTGGTCCGTTACTAATGGCACAGAGCAACAGTGAATTCTTTACATTAAATTATTACGATTTAACTCAATTTATGTTAGTCCAATTGTTAATAATAACGAAGATACAGATGGTTAAAGTTAATACTTTATTTTCGTTTTTCTTTAATAATTTCGTCTTCTCTTACTTTATGAACATGAAAATTGGTACATTATCATTGTTTAAGACGATAAATAATAATTTGGTATTAGTTTTAATTTATCTTCCAGATGGCGCTACCTGCCTTAAAAACCTCCATTAAAGTAGTCATATCTTTTTCATCGTTAAAATTTTTTCAACTCACACAACTTGAAACAGTTTCTCAGACATTTTTACATAAATTTGGTATATCTAGCAATTTTCTCTAAAGTTCACCGTTTCCAGAATAATCACTGTTTAAGGACACTTTATGCTCAGTAAACATTAGTTGGCGTTGAAAATGATTTTATTTGGTCAAACACTAGACTAACAGTGTCAATTGGCATTAATACTAATGTATTAATGCTAATTGAAAATGGAAATTATTGAAGAAAACCGAAAATAAAGAACTTTAACAATTCACTGTTGCTCTGTGTCCCATTAGTAACGAACCACCCTGTATATTCTTGATAAGAGCAAATTTGTATCAAGGTGGTATCAACCTTGCGACCTCGGCTTGATTGACTTATAATCCTTGAAAATTGTCTAGTTTTCTATTAATATATAAAATGATGTCAAACTAGCGCCTCGGCTTGATTAACTCATATATTCTTGAAAACTGAGTAAATTTGAATCAAGGTGTTATCAACTTAGCGCCTCGGCCGCAAGCGACTTCTGCGTGGTACAAATTTACACCGTTTTCCAGTGCCTCCCAAAAGTAACAGACAAATTCGCTAAAACAATTAAATTATGAAAGTTAATTAAGCCGAGCCGCTACATTGATACCATATTAGTGGAAAGGTGGACAGTTTTTAAGAATGAATGGGTTAATTAAGCGAACCTCGGCTTAATCATACCACATCATGCAATCTGTAAACAATATTATCATGTTTTGAATTAATATGATATCAATTATAGCAAGGTGGCGAAGTTATCATTTCACTTCATTAACCCAAAGTCGTTTGCGGCTTAAGACTTGTAATTTGTGTTAACAAGTTTTATGTTAATACGGTATCAGTTATTACACCTCGGCTTATGTTTAATAATGTCATATCATGTATTATGCTTATTATAAACGTGTATTATGACTTGGGTCAGCTAATAAGTCATCATTTTTTGCGTTATCATGGTGCGATTAATGACTCAGAATTAATTAGTGAGACGTTGTGGTGGTGTCTTTGTCTAAAAAATGTGGCTTTTGCCATCGCATTACTGAGTTACCATAAAATGTATTCACCAAGTCAATCAAGATATCGTAAAAACTTTGATTTATCTAATCCTACTTCTTAAAGTTTAGCAAATCTTTAAATAATACTTTTTATCAATGAAACAAGGAATAAAATTAAGTAATTTTTGACACCTTAAAAATTAATTAATAAGTGATTAATACAAAAAAGACTAAGTCACGTATTCGTAAACATTAATGAACTCAATTTAAACGCATTGTTTCGAGGATTAATTTTTACGATCGATTTGATTGATTTAATTTTTTTGGTTTTGATGAATAGACTTACAATTTTATTTGTCTCCTATCAATTTTAATTTTTGAGCTATGATAACATAAATTAAATTAACTCACCCTAACTCTTGCTTCGGTTAAATTCGTCCACATAGCAATTTCCTCCCTAGAACTCATATCCGGATATCGATTCCTCGCAAAAGTCGCTTCCAACTCTTGCAATTGTTGCGATGTAAAATGCGTTCTTTGCCTTCTCTGCCTCTTTTGTTTCTTATCATTTTTGCCACCTTCTTCACTTTCGCCACCATCAACGCCAACAGCCTCCGTTTTCACCGGATCCGTTAATGATCTACTGGCTGCAACAAAACGAGTGATGCAATTGATTCAAAAAGATGTTGAAAATAAGAGAATAAAGGAAGGCGTTTAAAAGGGAACGGTTCGGCGTTGGCCAATCACAAAAGCTGTCATCGTCTACCATGATTGATTAAGGCGGTGCGCGACCACAAAGCGTAAAGTAACAGCCGATATCGTAACACTTCACCATCTAATATAGCTTTTATCGGCCAGAAACGATAAGTGCACGTCGACACTTTTGTTGATAAAAAACCCGCAACTAAATTGCTTATTTTAATTCTATTTTCAACAATTTTAGTTTTGAAATGATTGTAATTTTAATATCTTTTTATGCATTCTTAATCCAAATGATAACCAATTAGAGCTTAAATTTACTTCTTAAAAAAAATGAATTAAACGTTCAATAAAACACGCATTCGATATTAAAAAATTACATAAGAAAAGACTACGAAAAAGAAATTAAATTAATTTTAAATTGTCAGACTAGCTGGAATACACTGTTTATGTTGGAGAGATTCATATTATTAGAAAATGAGCACGTAAAGCAATGGTTGCCACAAAAAAAGGCCTTTCTTGTAGATTCACAGTACGAACTTATTAAAGCATTAGTAACCATGTTGGAACCGGAACCTGCCTGTAAAAGCCTTATGCTAGCGGTATATTGCACCAGGAGAAGCAGATGTAGCTTTACAATTTATGATAAATGAGATAGAAGGACAAAATATGTTTGAAAATGTCTAAACAAAGACAACAAAGCCACCTGTCCAGTTAACTAAGAATGCACTCTTCAATACATTGATCCAGGAAATTGATATATTCAATCGATTCGCTTTTGAAAGTTTGAAAACTATTCCACCAACAAGTGTGGAATTGGAACAGTGCTTCTCTTCAATACAAAATTTAGATCTCGTTTAGGAGATAAAACAATGGACTCTGCGACATTTCTTTAAAAATAGTGTATAATAGAATAAGCTGAAATGTTAGAAACATCTTGAACAGTTTTTATTTATAATTACGTATGTATGTAGCCCAGAAATCCCGGGATTACCTGGGATAGAGAATTCTGATCCTGAAATCCTGGGATTGTAAAAACCGTTCTTTATTGCAATCCCTATTACCAACCTAGGGAACTAAAACTTTTAATGCTAAAACTTCAGTGTTTTCCGATTTTAACTCTATTATAGGTAATAAATTAAAGACTGAAAGTGATGGAGTGAAATGTTTTAGATAAAAAACATTAATAATCAACTCATAAATTATAATCCATAAAAAGTTTGTCCTTATCATTGGTTATTACCCACCTAGGAAACAAAAACTGATGAATTTGCAGAATTTTGCACTTCTAACATTATTATAGGTAATAAGTTACGAGCTAAAGATGATGGAGTGAAATAGTTTAGATGAAAAATAATCATAATCAACTCAAAAACTATAATCCATAAGAGATTTGTCCCCGTCTTTGTTTATTACCAACCTAGGGAACTAATAATGAAGAATTTTCAGTGTTTTCCGATTTTAACACTATTATAGGTAATAAATGAAAGACTGAAAGTTATGGAGTGAAATGATTTAGATAAAAAATATTAATAATCAACTCATAAATTATCATCCATAAAAAGTTTGTCCTTATCATTGGTTATTACCAACCTAGGAAACAAAAACTGATGAATTTTCAGAATTTTGCAGTCCTAACATTATTATAGGTAATAAGTTATGGCCTAAAAATGATGGAGTGAAATAGTTAAGATGAAAAATAATCATAATCAACTCAAAAACTATAATCCATAAGAGATTTGTCCCCGTCATTGTTTGTTACCAACCTAAGGAACTAATATTGAAGAATTTTGAGGGTTTTCCGATTTTAACACTATTATAGGTAATAAATTAAAGACTAAAAGTGATGGAGTGAAATGTTTTAGATAAAAAACATTAATAATCAACTCATAAATTATAATTCATAAAAAAATTGCCCTTATAATTGGTTATTACCAACCTAGGAAACAAAAACTGATGAATTTGCAGAATTTTGCACTTCTAACATTATTATAGGTAATAAGTTATGACCTAAAGATGGTGGATTGAAATAGTTTAGATGAAAAACAATCATAATCAACTCAAAAACTTTAATCCATAAGAGATTTGTCCGCATCATTGTTTATTACCAACCTAGGGAACTAATATTGAAGAATTTTCAGGGCTTTCCGATTTTAACACTATTATAGGTAATAAATTAAAGACTGAAATTGATGGAGTGAAATGTTTTAGATAAAAAACATTAATAATCAACTCATAAATTATAATTCATAAAAAAATTGCCCTTATAATTGGTTATTACCAACTTAGGAAACAAAAACTGACGAATTTGCAGAATTTTGCACTTCTAACATTATTATAGGTAATAAGTTACGACCTAAAGATGATGGAGTGAAATAGTTTAGATGAAAAATAATCATAATCAACTCAAAAACTATAATCCATAAGAGATTTGTCCCCGTCTTTGTTTATTACCAACCTAGGGAACTAATAATGAAGAATTTTCAGTGTTTTCCGATTTTAACACTATTATAGGTAATAAATGAAAGACTGAAAGTTATGGAGTGAAATGATTTAGATAAAAAATATTAATAATCAACTCATAAATTATCATCCATAAAAAGTTTGTCCTTATCATTGGTTATTACCAACCTAGGAAACAAAAACTGATGAATTTTCAGAATTTTGCAGTCCTAACATTATTATAGGTAATAAGTTATGGCCTAAAAATGATGGAGTGAAATAGTTAAGATGAAAAATAATCATAATCAACTCAAAAACTATAATCCATAAGAGATTTGTCCCCGTCATTGTTTGTTACCAACCTAAGGAACTAATATTGAAGAATTTTGAGGGTTTTCCGATTTTAACACTATTATAGGTAATAAATTAAAGACTAAAAGTGATGGAGTGAAATGTTTTAGATAAAAAACATTAATAATCAACTCATAAATTATAATCCATAAAAAGTTTGTCCTTATCATTGGTTATTACCAACCTAGGAAACAAAAACTGATGAATTTGCAGAATTTTGCACTTCTAACATTATTATAGGTAATAAGTTACGACCTAAAGATGATGGAGTGAAATAGTTTAGATGAAAAATAATCATAATCAACTCAAAAACTATAATCCATAAGAGATTTGTCCCCATCATTGTTTATTACCAACCTAGGGAACTAATAATGAAGAATTTTCAGTGTTTTCTGATTTTAACACTATTACAGGTAATAAGTTAATGACTGAAAGTGATGGAGTGAAATGTTTTAGATAAGAAACATTAATAATCAACTTATAAATTATAATCCATAAAAAGTTTGTCCTTATCATTGGTTATTACCAACTTAGGAAACGAAAACTGATGAATTTTTAGAATTTTACACTTCTAACATTATTATAGGTAATAAGTTAGTACCTAAAGATGATGGAGTGAAATAGTTTAGATGAAAAATAATCATAATCAACTCAAAAACTATAATCCATAAGAGATTTGTCTCCGTCATTGTTTGTTACCAACCTAGGGACCTAATATTGAAGAATTTTCAAAGTTTTCCGATTTTAACACTATTATAGGTAATAAATTAAAAAGTGAAAGTGATGGAGTGAAATGGTTTAGATAAAAAACATTAATAATCAACTCACAAATTATCATCCATAAAAAGTTTGTCCTTATCATTGGTTATTACCAACTTAGGAAACAAAAACTGATTAATTTGCAGAATTTTGCGTTTCTAACATTATTATAGATAATAAGTTACGACTTAAAGATGATGGAGTGAAATAGTTTAGATGAAAAATAATCATAATCAACTCAAAAACTATAATCCATAAGAGATTTGTCCCCGTCATTGCTTATTACCAACCTAGGGAACTAATATTGAAGAATTTTCAAAGTTTTCCGATTTTAACACTATTATAGGTAATAAATTAAAAACTGAAAGTAATAGAGTGAAATGGTTTAGATAAAAAACATAAATAATCAGCTCACAAATTATCATCCATAAAAAGTTTGTCCTTAGCATTGGTTATTACCAACCTAGGAAACAAAAACTGATCAATTTTTAGAATTTTGCACTTCTAACATTATTATAGGTAATAAGTTACGACCTAAAGACGATGGAGTGAAATAGTTTAGATGAAAAACAATCATAATCAACTCAAAAACTATAATCCATAAAAGATTTGTCTCTGTCATTGTTTATTACCAACCTAGGGACCTAATATTGAAGAATTTTCAGGGTTTTCCGATTTTGACACTATTATAGGTAATAAATTAAAAACTGAAAGCGATGGAACGAAATGGTTTAGATAGAAATCGTTAATAATCAACTCATAAATTATAACCCATAAAAAGTTTGACCTTATCATTGATTGTTACCAACCTAAGAAACAAAAACTGACGAATTATCGAAATTTTGCATTTCTAACATTATTATAGGTAATAAGTTACGGCCTGAAGACAATGGAGTGAAATAATTTAGACTAAAAGCATTCATAATAAACCTAAAAATTATAATCCATAAGAGATTTGTTCCTGTCATCAGTTATTATCAAGCTAGGAACTAAAACTGAAGAATTTTCAGTTTCGCGATTTTAACACTATTATAGATAATAAATTAAAAACTAAAAGCGATGGAGTGAAATGATTTAGATAAAAAACATTAATAATCAACCCATAAATTATAATTTATAAAAGATTTGCTCCTATTATCGGCTAATACCAACCTAAGAAACTAAATCTGATGAATTTTCAGAATTTCGCAGTTTTAACATTATTATTATTCCAGGTAGTTGGCTGCAATGACAAAAGATCTAAAGAGAAGCCTGTTAGTTCTGGAGTACCCCAAGGATCAATATTGGTCCTATTGGTTCTTTATTTAATTTACACTCTAAAGTTGTGCAGTTCATTGGAATTTTGAAAACCTCACATGTACGCAGATGATATAACTTGGGTGTCATAATAGATTCTTCTCTCCGATTTAAAGAACATGTAAATACTCTGATTAGGTCTCTTAAAGTTTTATATAGCAGCAAGTATCTTTTTGTCGTTCGGCTAAACCCGAATGCTTCTAATTTATTCTAGTTTTAGTGTTAAACACTTTTAATTTTGAAATGATTGAAATTTAAAAATCTTTTTAGGCATTCTTAACCCAAAAGATTAAGACGCCATTAATATTAGACGACAACCAATTAGAGCTAAAATTTACTTCTCAAAAAAAGAAAAGGAATTAAACGTTCTGCTGAAACGAGATGAAACCATAATAGCCGTTGGAGAATAAGCTTTTTGATTTATCGCCCAACATGTGCATCGTGTCTCTTGGTTTTGCTTCTTGGGTGTTTCATGCTCCATGTATTTTTCGTCGATTAAAAATAGATCAAAGAAAATTTCGAAATCGATTTTTTTTTTTTAAACTCGTTAAATTTTCAATTATCCGATCTTGTATGTCTGGAAACAATGTGGGAAATGTAAAAATCGGAAAGCATCGACTTGTTTGAAGATGGTTGATTAAAAATCGTAAGCCTGGAAGTGGAGGGAAGTGATGGTTCCGGGAGCAATTATCCCCCGCCTCCCTTTGGAGCCGTCTTTTGTACGGGAGGGGACCCCGAAATCCTCGCATTGATCCCCCCCAGACGGGGCGCGTTTTCCCGGACGGAGACGCCTTTTTTATTGTTATTTTTAGCACTCAGAGTAGAGCTGATCAAACAGCCACCCACCCCGGTTTCCTCAAAAATCCATTTACCAAGATTTTTCTTTGCAAAAATTGATTCTGAAAATAAAATTTTTTAATGTTTACCTTTTCGTTCTCTCGTCCTAGATCTAGAAGCAGTTGAAAATGGTAATTGCGGATGATCCATTGAGCTTGAAGTGGACATTCCCGAGTGAGCATCTCTAAAATCGCCGGTTTCCGCCCAAACTAGAACAAGAAAAAATCGCAAAGTCGCACAAAATCTATCTGTTAAAAAAGTTGCTTATAAAAATAATCTGGCACAGATTTACTTCTAGAAATAGGAATGGAAACAACAATAAAGTTCGGTCGTTAATTATCAAGTTTCCGACGTCGACGACGTTGTCCCGTTTACTCCGAGAATAAGTGGCCCGACTAAATATCGAAGAATTAGTCGCATATTTGCCGTAACTAATCGATTTTAAAACCCACCCGAAAGGGTTTTTTACGCCTCTTTATGTCTCCTCGGGAGCCAAGAAACACATGTCGTCGTTAACGTGTGGACGAAGACGAAGATTCCTTGACAGGTTTAGTGCTTTGATTTACAAGCACAACACGTCTTCAAAAAAAGAATAAACGTATTTATAAAAATACTAATTTGATCTCGTACTAAAAAAAAGAAAGATCTCTATTTGTTTCATAAAGCTTCATAAAGCTGTATTTATTGGAAAAAGGGTTGAAATTGATTCATTGACTCATCATCGTAAGGAAAGGGTCAAAATAAATGATCCCAAATGTTTAGAAATAGATGAAATAGAGGTCATTTTGAGGGATTTTCGAATAACCCTTTTGGGGTTAACAAGTTACTTCGGGGGTAAAATCTTTCTAACATCTGCTCTGTTATTGTGGTTGTAATTGTTAAATGGTTTTGTACATTAACTTGGATGACTTTAATATTTTTCTTATATGAAAAAAGTTTTATGGAATGAATTTGTTTGACAAAAAGGAACATGCAGAGGAATCTGTATATTTACTTTGTTTAAACCAAGGTCACTTATGGCCGAGGCGCTACAACTATATATATATACTACTACACTAGAGCAATTCAAAAAGTTGGACGAAAAAGATATATCACTCTTTGAACTGTGGCAAAACACAAAACAAGAACTAGAAAGTAGTTTGCTACCGATAAAACAACTACTGAAAATAAAGAGTGTCAACTACTACATATTCTCGTTTTCGCTTGGTGTCAACTACTGGCCCAGTGTCTTTTATACAGGGTGTCCAATTTTTTTAAATGGAATGCCTCATATTTTATTATCTTAAATTATTCGCCAAGTAATAAGGTTTCTTTTTTATAAAGCATGTTCAAAAATATTTCAAAAATGGTAAAATTTTGGTATAGGTAATGCTTAACAAAAAGTATGTCGAATTTTCACGGTAATTCAAAAATGCAATTAAATATGGGGTGTTCCATTTAAATTTACGAAGTTGTACCTTGTACTTTGTTTTTGCAACACCTTGTATAAACAAAAATATTTTTAGGTTATGCTCCCTCGAGCACCAAAAACTTTATATATAAACATTTTTTTCTAGCGACATCCTGTAAGGAGATATCGTCCGATATCGCACTAATTGGATATATAAGTATATACAGGGTTATACTTATATATTTAAAAAATTCATAGTGATTTTATTAATCTAATTCTTGTCACATTATAAAAGAGGAATAGTTTGTGCAGCTATCACTAATTAGAAGTTTTCTCTAAAGTAAATTCAGTGCTAGCATTGTCCAAGAAACAGACTAATAAATCCTTAAAGTGTCAACTACTGGTGTTTTTACCTTAAACCTGAATGCACAAGGATCCTTCAAGAAATTAATTCTTTTCGCGATCTTTCAAAACGGCTTTTTGCATTAAAAAGAGGATACTTTAATGACTAATTGGTGATATTTCCACAAGGATCCTTCAAGAAATTAATTTTATAGCGAATTTTGAAAATTATCGATGAAAATTGCAACATCGAAAATTTTATCAAAACNATGTACGCAGATGATACACAGTTGTATTGTAGTTTTGAATTGAGCTTCCCGAATGCTTCTAATTCTAGTTTTAGTGTTAAACACTTTTAATTTTGAAATGATTGAAATTTAAAAATCTTTTTATGCATTCTTAACCCAAAAGATTAAGACGCCATTAATATTAGACGACAACCAATTAGAGCTAAAATTTACTTCTCAAAAAAAGAAAAGGAATTAAACGTTCTGCTGAAACGAGATGAAACCATAATAGCCGTTGGAGAATAAGCTTTTTGATTTATCGCCCAACATGTGCATCGTGTCTCTTGGTTTTGCTTCTTGGGTGTTTCATGCTCCATGTATTTTTCGTCGATTAAAAATAGATCAAAGAAAATTTCGAAATCGATTTTTTTTTTTTAAACTCGTTAAATTTTCAATTATCCGATCTTGTATGTCTGGAAACAATGTGGGAAATGTAAAAATCGGAAAGCATCGACTTGTTTGAAGATGGTTGATTAAAAATCGTAAGCCTGGAAGTGGAGGGAAGTGATGGTTCCGGGAGCAATTATCCCCCGCCTCCCTTTGGAGCCGTCTTTTGTACGGGAGGGGACCCCGAAATCCTCGCATTGATCCCCCCCAGACGGGGCGCGTTTTCCCGGACGGAGACGCCTTTTTTATTGTTATTTTTAGCACTCAGAGTAGAGCTGATCAAACAGCCACCCACCCCGGTTTCCTCAAAAATCCATTTACCAAGATTTTTCTTTGCAAAAATTGATTCTGAAAATAAAATTTTTTAATGTTTACCTTTTCGTTCTCTCGTCCTAGATCTAGAAGCAGTTGAAAATGGTAATTGCGGATGATCCATTGAGCTTGAAGTGGACATTCCCGAGTGAGCATCTCTAAAATCGCCGGTTTCCGCCCAAACTAGAACAAGAAAAAATCGCAAAGTCGCACAAAATCTATCTGTTAAAAAAGTTGCTTATAAAAATAATCTGGCACAGATTTACTTCTAGAAATAGGAATGGAAACAACAATAAAGTTCGGTCGTTAATTATCAAGTTTCCGACGTCGACGACGTTGTCCCGTTTACTCCGAGAATAAGTGGCCCGACTAAATATCGAAGAATTAGTCGCATATTTGCCGTAACTAATCGATTTTAAAACCCACCCGAAAGGGTTTTTTACGCCTCTTTATGTCTCCTCGGGAGCCAAGAAACACATGTCGTCGTTAACGTGTGGACGAAGACGAAGATTCCTTGACAGGTTTAGTGCTTTGATTTACAAGCACAACACGTCTTCAAAAAAAGAATAAACGTATTTATAAAAATACTAATTTGATCTCGTACTAAAAAAAAGAAAGATCTCTATTTGTTTCATAAAGCTTCATAAAGCTGTATTTATTGGAAAAAGGGTTGAAATTGATTCATTGACTCATCATCGTAAGGAAAGGGTCAAAATAAATGATCCCAAATGTTTAGAAATAGATGAAATAGAGGTCATTTTGAGGGATTTTCGAATAACCCTTTTGGGGTTAACAAGTTACTTCGGGGGTAAAATCTTTCTAACATCTGCTCTGTTATTGTGGTTGTAATTGTTAAATGGTTTTGTACATTAACTTGGATGACTTTAATATTTTTCTTATATGAAAAAAGTTTTATGGAATGAATTTGTTTGACAAAAAGAACATTTAGAAGAATCTGTATGTTTAGTTTGTTTAAACCAAGGTCACTTATGGCCGAGGATCTACACCTATACCATATTGATACACAACCTGAATGTTTTTCAACGATACTTGGATTAATTAAGCCGAGGTCGCTTGCGGCCGAGGCTCTACATCGATACCATATTAATATAAAACCTAAATGCTTTTCAACAATACTTGGATTAGTAAAGCCGAGGTCGCTTGCGTTGGAGACTTTACACCGTTACTATGTTGATATAAAACCTGAATGCTTTTCAACGATACTTACTATCCGTGCAAAAAGTCAAGGCCCCTCACTTTAGAGATCGATATCTTCGCAACCGCTCAATAAAAAAAATTGCGACAAAGTTTGATGTAATCACTGAACATTTATACGTAACATATGATAATTTGGAAATTTTCGGATTCACGGTTTTCTTTTTATCGCGAGTTAAATGAAAAAAGTACCCGATTTTTGAGAGTGCCAGCAACTTTGTCAACTTTGCGATTTTTTTTGAATCGGTTTTTGAATTTTGAACAGGTGGTAGCCTGATGTGTTCTTAATGAGTGGCATATTTTATTTTTTCGATATTCCATACAGTTTCGCGGAAAATCGCGGTTTAGTAAGACGCCGTTATGTCGAAAACGGCTAGGTGGATTTCCTCGCAGATTTGAACAAAATATGTCAAATAATGTCGATTGTCGGATTCCGTTACCAGTTTTTCAAAATTAGAGCTCCCTAATTCTTTAAGAGCGATTTAATGGAATTACAAATTAAAGAGAAACAGAAATAAGCTCTGCGGGGTGACGGGGGTTCTGTACAATCGAAACAGATGGTGCGTCCCAGAGAGGAGGTCGCGCCTCATTTCTTTATGTAGGTAAGATAAAGGCGCGACGTACTGTCTAGGACACACCATCTGTTCCGATTGGATGGAACCCTGCTCTCCCCGCATAGCTTATTTCTGTTTCCTTTTAATTTTTAATTCAATTAAATCGCTCTTAAAAATTAGGGAGCCCTAATTTTGAAAAACTGATAACGGAATCCGACAACTGACATTATTTGACATATTTTGGTAAAAATTGCGTTGAAATCCGTTAGGTCGTGTTCGAAATAACCGCATCCTACTAAACCGCGATTTTCCGCGAAACTATATGGAATATCGCAAAAATAAAATATGCCCCACATTAAGAACACATCGGTTTACCACCAGTTCAAATTTGAAATTTTTTCATCACATACTTTTGGAGAAAAAAATCGCAAAGTAGACAAAGTTGCTGGCACTCTAAAAAATTGGGTACTTTTTTCATTTAACTCGCGATAAAAAGAAAACCGCGGACCCGAAAATGTTCAAATTAACTTATGTTACGTAGAAATGATCACTAATTTCAATAAATTTTACCGCAATTTTTTCCATAAAGCGGTTACGAAGGTATCGATCTCTAAAGTAAGGCGTCTTGATTTTTTGCACCGATAGTAGATTAACTAAGCCGAGGTCGTTTGCCCCCGAGGCTCTACCCTTACACCGATACCATATTGATATGATACGTGAATGATTTTCAAAGCTATTGAGTTTAACTGCTTGAGTTTACACCGATACTACATACGATGTTTACACAAATACTACATGTACAGGATGTCCCGTTAAGGGTACGGAGCGGCTGTATCTCGACAACGGTAAAGCCTAGAGGTTTGGGAAAAAAATCCTTATAGGCAAAGTGGCCAAGACAAATAGCTGAAAATTATTTTAAAGTTCGTAATTCGACCGCGAGGATGCGTAACTGAGATTGAGAAACATAAATTACATATTTTTGTGATTTTTGAAGAAAAGTTAAATGGAACGGTACTATTTACTTCGCAGACCCTTAGTCACCTTAAAATTTGCTAAATTTTAGTGAAAACCGCATCTCGATATCACCACCCGTTCTCGAATTATAGAAGAAAATGTTAAAAATACGAGTGCCATCAATCGGATCCAGTTACCTCATCGAGAAAAACAAATCGGATAACCATGGTAACTGTAAACATGTCATTTACTAATAGGCCCCATACACCTTCAAACAAATTGCGCAACAATCGCTGTTTTGCAAAAATTGTGTAGTGTATGGTGTTGGTTGATGCGTTACGCAACTGGTTGCAGAAATTCAAAATTGTATGAAAATGAGGTTTGTGCAACATATTCTGCAATAACGACGGTTTCTCTTCACGTGTGTTAGTAGGTGTTGATATTGCTTTTCTCAATATTGTGTCTTGTTTTTGTACCGGGAATTTCATATAACTCGCAATATATGAATACAGTATCCATAATTACGAAACTACTGTGCACTTGTAAAACACTAAATACCAGTAGGAACGTGTCCGAGACTTACGCAGCGTTCTTTTTTTCGTCGAAACTAGATTAACTAAATGCATCGAGGTTTATGGAAGGAGTGAGCTATTAGTGAGCTATTTTTGCCAAAAATTTAAGTTATTCTAAGTGTTTTGGTTTATTTTGTTTTATTATCATTGTTGATGTTTCATTGATCTGATGGCTTTTAAACACGCCTCAAAAGTAGTTTTGAAGCAGTTCTAAGCTTGGATAAACTGTGAAGGAAGGTTCTAGGTAATAACATTTTTGTGCTCTTTTATTTGTTTCCTAAGGTAACTTGATCCGATTAAGATATACGAATTTTTAACATTTTCTTTTATTATTCGAGAATGGATGGAGATATCGAGATGCGGTTTTCACTAATATTTAGCAAATTTTATGGTGATTAAGGGTCTGTGAAGTAAATAGTACCGTTCCATTTAACTTTTTTTCAAAAATCACAAAAATATGTAACTGCTGTAGATAACGCTCTCTAGCTTATTTGTTTTAAACCAAACGGTCTGACTGGAAATATTTGTTAAAAGAGCATGAAATGCTCTTTCAAACAAGACCAAAAATATTCAAATCGGTTGAATGGTCCAGGAGATATTAAAATGTAAACATTTGAAAACGCATTGGCCTCCCCCTTCGTTATTATGACAGATATGAGAAATATCGCAAAACAAAAGCGATGCGGTATTATCCAAGCTATTAAATGATGGTGTCAAAGTTATAGCTCATCGTATAACTTTCTGAGATAGCGGGAATTTTATGTTTCTCTATGACAGTTACGCCCCCTAACGGTCGAATTAGGCCTATAGGCCTTATCGTTGTCGAGATACAGCCGCTCCGTTCCCTTAACAAAACACCCTGTACATTCACAGAAAATCTGTGTTGAAAATGTATTCGGCGAATAACATGATGATTCTCCACTGCCTAATGATGAAAATCGCTTAATTTGAAACTAAAACGTTATTAGTAAAGTTGATGTAAGTTCCACTGGTAGTAGGGCTTGATATGGAAGTTGTGCTTCAACATTTGCAAAATTGTGGATTGTGATACCTCATGTTGTTCGGCAAGTATCCTAGTGATTATACCAAGCTGCTCTTCCACGATATTCAAAACCTCTTCGTGGCCTTTTATCTAACAGCACCGTGTATATTATGAGTGTTAATCATCATATCCAAGTTACAAAATTTTAAGATGTAATCCATTAAATATTGAGCCAAGCACAAAAATGCATTCATGTCTAAACCACTGTAATGCAAAATGCAATATGGTATTAAATGAGTCTTCTGATTCATCTTTGACACTTTCTGTATTAATCCTCATTCTATTTGGGGAAATTTTCTCAAAATTCTTTTACATGTAATTATGTATTAATTATTATTGAAACAACGTCCACTTTAGATGTTAAAATTGACTCGTGTCAATCACATTCAAAGATAAAAATCACTCTCATTGTATAATCTAGAGTATTTTGATGTTAAAATCGAAATTATCTGATGAAGTTAAAATCGCGTCACAAATTCCATGGATTTGAAGTATTGCATAAAATCGTTTTGTGTACATTATCTAAATGCTTTTATATTATCATTATATGTAATATAAAAGTGGCGAATATAAAGTAGGTATTATTAAATGATTAGAATTCGATTTTGGTTTAGTAATAACAACGCGTGCGCCGTTCTCGAACTCCTCATTTGATTTATAGCGGGATATTTGAACTTGGATCACCCAGGAGATTACTTTTGTTGGCTCCAGATTTACCGTAGATACACCTGGTCTTAACGGTGAGATTTATTGAACGAGACCCCCCTCCGTTAATGAATTTGAACGTACTACATACCGTGGCATAATGCGCGAAATAATATTAGTTTAACGTCAGAACCAATCGGA